GGCTGGCGCTCTCACAATGACGGAGAGAGAGAGAGAGAGAGAGAGAGAGAGTCACTCGCTCGCTCACTAAGAGAGAGAGAGAGAGAGAGAGAGAGAGAGAGAGAGAGACGCTCTCTCCTAGTGCACTTTGCAGTAAGTTGCGGGCGGCTGTTGCTGGCGTGGCGGTTGCTGGTCGCGCAGGGAACTTTAACACGCTGGATCCCAAAGTCCGTCTCTCTCACCTGCGCAGTTCGGAGCTGCCATGGATTTCGCGGCCGGATTTACTATCCTAATCACACTGCCGATCTTTCTGCAGACGAACGGCCTTTATACTTCCAGTAGCATAGGTACGTGCGCCTGCCTTTACCTATTTACACTTCCATCCCATCGCAAGATGTCCTGCCCGGTACCACCCCAGTGCGCATCAGACCTGGATGTTTGCGCACTGTCCCCATCCCTGTGTGAGAGAAACTTGTGGCACGAGCTATTTCTGATCTTTTTGATTATTCTCTGGAGCTTTAGGAAACATAAACAGCCGTGGCATTCTCGTGCGCTGTGTCATTACTGTTTGTTGTGAAGTGTGTTTGTTTCACATGCTGCTGAAATTAATTCTAATAATAATAATTCTTAGCGCAGCTCTGGTGTAATGGAAATGTTTTGGGTGTTTTTTTCCCCTTCGCGTTTGCGATCTTTGACGGACGCTCTGGCGATATTGATCTGTCTGAGAGCGGAAGTATTGCAGGATATTGATTTTAAATAAAGAAATGTCCCCGTTCTGTTCTCCTCCTTTGAGAGCGTTTAAACAAAACGTGCGTTTTGCATAAAGAAACTAAAAAAACTAAAGCTCTGAAACTGAACTTTTGATTTTGGAAGAGAAAGATTTCAAGGTTACTTGTTTGTGCGACAACTTTAGGTTTGTTGGTGACTTGTAATGGTTATTTGTAAATTAGAGCTTGTAATATGCAGGAGTAAGTGCTCTCTTCAGAGATGCACATGCAGAGCTCAGCATTACTTTGAACTGACAAATCGGCTGTGTCTCAAAACTTAGCGAGTTGTTTAACTAGACAACATTGTTGGGCATCATAGGTTTTTGAGAGTCATAGATAATTGAAGCATTTTGAGATTGTTAGGCATCATAAGTGTGGGCATCTTAGGTGAGTGGAGGATTTTTTGAGCATCATAGGTGTGTGCATCAGTTGCATATATTATTGGCTATCATAGGTGTATGCAACATTTTTGAGCGTTGTAAGTAATTGAAGAATTTTCGAGCATCATTTTAGGCATCATAGGTGTGGGCATCATAGGTGTGTGCAATTTTTTTGTGCACCATGTGCTTTAATTATTATTAGGAATGATAGGTGTGTGCAGAATTTTTTGAGAATTATAAGTAAGTGAAGCATTTTCAAGCATCATAGGTATGTGCAGAATTTTTGCATCAGTTGCATTATAGGGTATCATGGATGTGTGCATTATATGAGCATCATATGGAAGAGAAGCTTTTTTGAGCTTCATTTTTAGGCATCATAGGTGTGTGCAGCATTTTTGGGGAATCATAGATGAGTGGAGCATTTTTGTGCATCAGGTGCATAAAATATTACAGGTGCATGTGGCTCTTTTAGGTGTCATAGTTGTGTGCCGCAAATTTGTGTATCAGGTGAATTAAATATTATTGTGTATTATAGGTGCATGTGGCACTTTTGGGTATCATAGGTTTAGGTATGTGCAGAATTTTTGGTGAAACATAGGTGAGTGGAGTATTTTGGGCGTTAAGGGTGCATGCAACATTTATGGGAATGCATGGAACATTTCTGAGCATCACAGGTGTTTGAAATCAGCTGAGCTGAACTGAATGTGCCTGTGATGCCTGAAATGCTGCCTTGGTAGGTTGCTCACTAGGTTTTGTGACACTCATTAGGATGAGTGATCTTCTTCTGAGATAATTTAAGCCAGTTACTTTTGTTTTTCCCCTACGTGAGTCTGTTGTTGAGTTTCTCCTTTTATATACGTCAATATTGTAAATACGTCTATCATGCATCTGGCTGTCATTGAAAACAATAAGGCATATTGTGAATGATACATTTTATTTATCTTTGTATTTCTTGACGGGAGGCAGGCATATGTATTATTACAGACACAGAACAACACACACTTTTCATAAAGTCTCACACAATCTGCGCACAAGCAGGCATCATTAAATTATGAAATTAAATGGAAATGATGGTGTCAAACAAGTGTTAATGTGTTTCTTCTCCCGGACCTATCTGACCCATTGCTCATGTGCATTTACTTGCTGCATGGAAAGGAATGTGCATTTCAAGTGTCAACAAAAAAAATGTAATGAGGAGAAACATTGTTTCTGCAAACCATCACATGAAAGTCACCAGTCTAGTGACATTCATTATAGATGCTGATGCACTACAACCAATGTGTGCTGTCTGACTGACTATCTTTGTGTGTAACTCAATGCAGATTCCCTGCAGCATGTTCTGGGGGACTATGGATTGGTGAAGCCCGTTCTTACTGATGCAGAAGGCTGCTTTCTGTCCCATGCGGTCTCGGTTGGTCCAGCAGATGGGCAGTTCCGTAGGCGCTGGAGAAGAGAGGCGGCATCGGCCGACCACGCCCACCATGAGTCCCGAGGAGGCACGCCTGAGCGACTGTACTACAACGTCACCGTCTTCGGCCGGGAGTTTCACCTGCGTCTGCATCGCAACACGCGCCTGGTGGCCCCCGGAGCCAAGATGGAGTGGCAGGAATCCGACGGCACGCACTCCGAGCTTTTGAAGAGCGACTGCATGTATGTTGGCGACATTACAGACATACAGGGAGCCTCCGTAGCTATTAGTAACTGCGACGGCCTGGTAAGTGGCCACTTTGGCCTTCATTTTGTGTGGTGTCCAGTATGTCTGCTTAATTCACACAAACCCGTCATGAATCTAATCAATACAATTAAAAATTGCTATCATCGAAAACAAACTTTAATGAAAAAGAAGAGTTTAATCCTTCCTATATTCAATCAGTGTGCAAATTGGGTGTTTTTTCTGAGTTATCAAGTATATATAGATTTCTTATGCATAGGTATTTTAAGGTGCTCTTAAGTTGTTTACTTCATGCATAGAAATACCAGATCCAACGTTAAAGGAATAGTTCACCCAAAAATTTATATTTGCTGAATATTTACTCACCCTCATGCCATCCAAGATGTAGATGAGTTCATCAGAACCAATGGATCCTCTGCAGTGAATGGGTGCCGTGAGAATGAAAGTCCAAACAGCTGATAAAAACATCACAATAATCCACATATAATCCACAAGATTTCAGTCCATCAATGAATGTTTTGTGAAGTGAAAAGTCACGTATTTGTAATAAACAAATGCATCAAGAACTTTTTAACTTTAGACTTCAAAACTTCAAACCTTCAAACTTCAAAGTCCTCTATTCTGCTTCCCCCAGTACAAAAGTCATCTCATCTGAATCAGGAGAGAAATATGCACAGATCAAAACAGATCTGGGCTGCGTTTCCCGAAACCTTCTTAACGCTACATCGTTTGTAAGTTATACCTTAAGTTGTACCTTTACGTTAATACGTGTTTCCCGAAACGTTCTTAGTTAAGTATACCTTCTGTAAGTCATTCGTTTGTAAGGTTAGTCTGGACCACTCTTAGCTATACCTTATCGCTGTTCACAGTTCACTCCGCTAGTGGCCACCACTGTGCAAAAACCTTCTTCACATTTCAGTTGATACGATTGTAATTCTGTGGCAAGGAAATGTGCAGAACCAAATAAATATTACAATTCTAAAGTTGTAATACACCCAGTGTTCAATTAGTGTTCAATTAATTTAAGTGTTTTTATGCAAATAATAAAACTGTCATTATACTGATGGTTGTTAGTTTTTCCATTATACAAAGGCACATCGGCTGGCAAAATATTAGGCAGCACATAATTAGGAGTCTATTTAAAGTGAATGAATGTGATGGGGAGTTTGGTCAAACTATGGAAGTCGGAGCTACCCCCTAAGCCCCGAAATTCAGCTGCTGGCGGCTTTCCGTTTTTATGCTGTAGGGAGTTTTCTGGAGGTGTTTGGGGATGGATATGGGCTGAGTAAAGACCTCGTGTGACGGTGCGTTCACACAGTCACAAACATCCTGCTCCATCACGCCACCAATGTCATAGCCTACGTATGCCTTTCACCAGGCACGAAGTGATGGAGGCACATGTGTGTCCCGTGAGTAATTCGCCTTGTGGACAGGACACTTATCCCCATCGCCAACCCATCAGCGCTCAACCAGGCCTTCATAATATACAGTATATGAACATGAGAATATAAATGACCCTTTCAAAATCAAGTGAAGCCAAACAGCCAGTTAATGTAGCTGGTTAAGGCAGAATACTTTTGGCCGTGAGGTTGCAGGTTCGCACTTGCAAAATTATACAAACACACAGACACACGCACACACACGCATACTGTATATATATATATATATATATATATATATGTGATATCCAAGGTTGCATTTAGTTTGAAATTTTATTATTTTATAAATGCAGTGAGCCGCGATAAATGCAATTTCTAATATTTCTAAAGTGCTTCTTTATAATGAACATCACTTTCTCAATACTTTACCCGCTCTATAACGCAGTGAAAGAGCTCCTGTAGTGAACAATCGATTCTCGAGCCATCGATATCAACCTATTCAGCACCACCGCCATGGACAGCACCTGCTAACATCGCACGTAAGAAGGTTTACCTTAAGCAGCATCCTAAGGTATAGTTCGGGGAACAGACCTAGGAAAGGTATACCCCTAGTTAAGGTATATCTTTAGAGTCTCCGTAGCGCACTAAGAGACACCGTTATCGGGAAATGCATCCCTGATCAGATCTAAACAAATACTGTGATGTTTTTATCAGCTATTTGAACTCTCATTCTGATGGCACCCATTCACTACAGAGGATTCATTGGTGAGCAATTGATGTAATGCCAAATATCTACATCTTGTATGGCCAGAGGGTGAGTAAATTTTCCTGCAAATTTTCATTTTTGGGGGAACTTTTCCTTTAAGGGATGTGACTCTATAATGAGGGTCCTGCTAAGGTACTTTATGGTGTAGCCTAAATTTTTGTCTTGTGTCTTGAGTATTTACAGTAAGCCATGGAGCTACCTAAAACTATCTGTCTCTTCAACAAACTACTGAAATGTTATCTTAGTGTATGCAGTATAGTCATAGATTTCCTAGATATTCCTAATACAAGCTGAAAGGCAAATAAATAGTTGAGTGGTAGAGTGTGCTTTATTACTTGTGTGTACTGAGATCTGTGTTTATGGCAGCGACAGATGTGAGGATTGGAGCAGAGGCCTCTTGTTAATTACTGGAGGGTTTTTTTCTTTACTTGAATAAAACTATAATTGTAAACGGGTCCAAATGAGAAGCTCAGAGAGTCTGTCAGAGATCATGAGATCCATACGCCCCCTGTGGCTGACATCTTTATACAACAAGAAAGAGAGATGAAGAATGAAGAATCTTTATAAACAGATTAAACTAAGAGGTCAAATAGATGATGTAGAAATTAAGTACATAGTACCAGTGAGGGCAGTGCTGTCTGCTCCGTTGGTCTCTTAGAATATACTGGTAGAAGCATCAATAGCCCTTGTGGAAAAAAGTGCACATTTTATTGATTGTAAAATGTGACCAATACATAGATACATATACACACACACACACACACACACACACACATCTATATTTTTTTTGTACATGAGTATACACACACACACACACATACAAATGTATATTTTGTATGTACATGAGTATACACACACACACACACTTAAAAATGATAATTATAATGATGTATTAATTAGACATTGAAAGGTACTGTCAAGATATGTAGACTGAAGTACTGTATACACACACACACACACACACACACACACACACACACACACATTTATATTTTGTATGTACATGAGTATACACACACACACACACACACACATCTATATTTTGTATGTACATGAGTATACACACACACACACACTTAAAAATGATAATTATAATGATGTATTAATTAGACATTGAAAGGTACTGTCAAGATATGTAGACTGAAGTACTGTATGAGTACATTTAGGATTATAATAAATATGCAAAACAGATTGTTACAGAGTTAGTTTCACTGAACTTCATTTTAATATCAGTATTACTAATATTTGCACGTAAATATATCCAATGGTGAATTTAAAATATATTTCAAGTACATTAAATGTTGTATAAAATTGCACTTAAATACAATGAAGTTGCAATAAGTATGAACTCTGAAAATATTATAACAAAAAAACAGTATACCAGTTGGTATGTTTGTATGTCTCTTGTTTATGTTTCATTTGCATGTTTGTGTCTGTAGAAGCCTGTTGCATTTCATTGCTCTTTATATCATAACCTGTATAAATGCCCCATAGGAAGAGCTTACAGGCATTTCTGTATATACTGTGTGTGTGTTTATGTGCTTGTGCACAGGTATGTCCACACTTGTGTCAGTTTGTATGTGCTTGCGTATGCACGCTCCAGTGGGCAAAGTGCCCACAGGATTAAACCCAGTCTCCATGCTGTCCTTCATCTTCAAACACTCAGGGTCATCCAGTGCTACAGCCGTAGGCATCTTGCATATAAAACAGCCTCAGTAACCCCATTTCCTCTGAGGGTGATACTCCTCAACAGAGAGAATAAATGCAACCTTAGATTCATGCCTCTTGATATTTCAGAAGTTTGTTTGTAGAGAAGAGCTTTTGTAAACATGATTATGTTGCAGAATAAAGAGTGGCCATGCTAATGGCAGTGTATTTTGAGTGTATTTTAAGTGTATTTTGGGTAGCTCAGAATATTCAGAGAGACAGATCAGGGAAGTTACACCCTGATTTACATGTATTCGGAAGCTTGTTTTTGGTTTTCATTTTACAATCAGGTTTTTGTAGTGACAAGCGCTCAATAGCTTCTATATAATGCTTTTTAATGAGACAGGAAATCAGCCAGATGGAAGTAGATAGACATTGTGGCAGTAACCACTTGTTGTTCAAAAAACACGTGGAAACTCATTGTTCCATATCTTCAGAATATCTGGAACTGCAAGAAATCAAAACATCTGCTCATCGAGCAAGAGGTCACGTAGGCTGAAGAGAAATCCACTTATGTGATATTATGTTTTCTCCAAAACCATATTTTTCAACAAATCAGAGGTTTACATGGTTTACAGTCAGAGGTGGGATGTATCCATTATAATCAGAGGGTCTGGTTTAGTAAGGCAGAACTGAGAATTATTTGTACGGTTTATCAACAGGTGTTTATTGACACAATATACAGTAGAATGTGTGTGCAGACACATGCAGTCTTTTGGGATGTTATAGTTTTACTTGGTAAAGGTGGTTTTAAGGTTTTCAATTGCGTGTTTCTGGGAGTGTACATGTGTACTACAGTTTGCGTTTAAGGGCTTAGTTTTAGATTAGTCATGACAAGACTCTTATAAGCTGAGAGGCCTATTTGTACACATTCTGTTTTGTAATAAAATGACAGAGGCCAAGATATCCTTTAATAATAGCAAAATGTTGACTGTGCATACATCTGTTTTATGGTGGGACATGGCCCGATGTTGCAGGTTACCCTAGCACTTACAGAGACTCAAGGGAAAAGTCTTTATTGTTTTTACAAGCTAGAAAAATTAAGCCTGTCTACTCACTAGATGATGAGGTGCTATTTTCTAATATAGACAATGAAAGCAACAAAAGGCAGTGACTCTCTTTATATATGTTACAAAACAGATTATTTGAATGCCATTGTGACTGGTCACCTCTTTTTGTTTTGTATGATT